CCTACAATTTTTTTAATTTTAATTAAAAAAAAACACATCAGAGTAAAATTAATACCGTCTCAGTTTCACATTGAAGCTAAAATAATGTTAACTTACAAATTTATATACAACCAGAAACTATTTACNGTAAATAAGTAACACCCCACGTGATTTCTGTGCCTTTTTCCCTTTACTTTTTAAACTGGTTTGTTCAAAAGCTGTTATGGCATAATAATTATTTTTAATTATTGTATGTACAGACAAATCGTTCTTCTTGTTTTGTCTGTTGTTCGGCAACTGCAGCTTTGGTTGTATAATCTGATCAAGTCTTTATTTTCGTTTCACTTCAATTTAACCGAAAATTTATGACAACTGAATAAAAAATTAAACATTCGTTTTAATTTTTTAACATTTAATATTAATTTAAATTTAGTCATATATTAAGTATATTAATGTAATAAAATTAAAATATTGAATAATTTAATATTAAATATAAAATACATGTATAGTAGTGCAATTAAACGTCCGTACAAACCAATCAACTGTGTTCAAGTAAATTAGAACTTCCTAATGGCAGTGCATCAAATTATTCCATTTTTCTTATATAGAGGATTTTGTAATACTTCAATATAAATTTTTTTGAATGAAAAAAACTAAAATAAAATTTAAATTATGTATTATAAAAACACCAGAAATTTTCAAAACTTTGTAATCCTATTTTGTGTATATATAATAATAGGTCTTATATATACAAATTGTTTTATACTACAACAAATTTAAATTGTAAATTTTGTATTGAATATTTTTGTATATTTAAGTTCTTTTGACTTTTTAATGTTTAATATATTTTAGAAATTTTTATAGACTTTTATACATTACTTACCTTTTTTTTTAAATAATATTTTATTAAGACATTTAGGGGAAACTAAGGAAACTATGGTCAGTAGGTAATACTGATCATCTCATTATCTAATAAACCCTTGCATCTAAAATTATGTTGACCATACGTATAGATTAAGAACGATAACAAAACCGTTTTTTTATTAGAACAATATTATCAAAAACGTTTTCACGTTTAAATGTGTAAAAAAAAGTTGCAAGAGTTTATTTATCTAATTAAAAAATTTTCAAGAAATTTAAATATATAAACTACCTAATTTTATAAGTTTTTTTGAACTATAAAAGAACAAATTTCACTTGTAGTTTTAACTCTTAATCAGCACAATATAAATTGTATACTTGTATATTTTAAAAGCATTAATAAAGACTTAGTTAAAAATCGTATAATAATAATTAAAATAAAATGAAAAGCTCTATACAGCATAGTAGAAGACAACTGAATGAATAAAATATAAATAATTAAATTATAAACAAAAAACGCGGCAACACCGTTTTCAAACCGTTCAGTATGGCACTTGGTGATATAACCGTACGTTTACGACCTTACGGTTTAACAGCCCTAGTGTACAGTAATAATCAAAGATTAAAATTTTAAATTTAAGAAAATTATGTTCTTATTTGATGCAATAGCAAAGGCTAGTGTTTTTTACATAAAATGACATTCTGGATATTCTTTTTGCAAAAAATGTACTCAAGGGGAATATTTATATGGTAGAGTATGTTTTCCTGACTTGACGTTTCTTAAAAGAACTCTTTCAAATTTTTTCGCCAAAACTAATTTGGATCATTATTTAGGGAATCTATTTTAGAAAAAATCCCTAGTTTTTGTTAAGTTGTAAAAAAATTCCTTGTTTACACATGGTGTTTTGGTCATTTTTTTTACAAACTTTCTGCCAGAAGTGTTATTATTGACATGGCAACGCCCGTCGCTCTAGGCTGGCGCTCACTCGTGTCTCTCTAGATATCAGCCGTCCAGCTATTAATAATTACAATCGATTGTCATCGGGTGTCTCCCCACCCTTGACACCGAGATTTACGCTCCGCCTTTCCACATAAAATAATTGATCTGTGATCTATTCCTCCCACTTTTATAAGTTATATAATGTTCTTCTCTCTTTCTAAAATAAGTATTAACCACAGCAAGATCATACGATACTGCGAAATTCAGGATTCTTTCTCCAGCCTCATTCGTCCCACTAACACCATACCCTCTATGTACTCTTTTATATCCTCTTCTCTTATTACCTGCATATCCATTCATATCTCCTCCTATCACCGCATCCTCATTGCCAGGTACCCCTTGCATCACCTCATTCATCTCTCTCCAAAACACTTCCTTATCTATATCATCACATTCCTATTGTGGTGCAAGGCACTTATTACATTCAACACTTTTTCTTCGAATATCAATTTTACGACCATAATTCTGTTACTTTTCCTAGCTACTTCTACTGCTTTATTTTAAATCTCCTCATCCATTATTATCCCTACACCATTCTTTGTACTAGACTTACCTAAGTATATTATCTTATAATCCTCACCTATTTCCCTTGATTTCTGTCCTTTCCACTTAGTTTCCTGCGCACAAAAAATGTTAAATTTTCTCTTCTTCAATACGTCTACTAATTCTCCACTTCTACCAGTTAATGTTCCGACATTCCATGTACTTATTATTACTTTGTATCTATCTTTCTCCCTTATACACGAGTTCAGCCCAGAGTTAAGTGATGATGTCCCTATACCGTTGACACTACAAGCGTTGGGTAGACCTGTACACATGACTGGTATAACAGCTACAGCACAAGTTGTCCGGCTGGTATAAAACACTTATTCCTTAGGCCTTCTCCGTTATTGACTACTTTATTCCCTCTCACATGTTGTCCCCGCGTACATCCAAGAGGGGACAATTTGACTAAGTTTTGTTCAGGACACGTCATACTATTTAACAAAAAATTTTACACTGGCTGTCGCCTAACGTAACCTCATTAGTCTCCTCTTACGACTGAAAGAAAGGCCATGGAAGTATTCTTATCCCCTATCCACAAGGAAAGTAATATAAAAATAAACACTTTTTTTAAATGATGTATTAAAAATTATTATAAAACTGGAATTATTTCTTATACAAATATCGGAGTAAAATTTTGAATAGCTTAAATTCTAAAAAATAAAAAACAATGTTTTGTTGGGACTTTTCAAAGATAGTGAGAGTAATTATCAATTAATAATTGTAATAGAAGAATGACAATTTAGTAATATCAAAGAGTAAATAAATTAACATATGTAATATTACAATTACTATAAAATTTAATTACTTCTGTTATACTAGTTATTATTGTTATAATGTTAGGGATGAGTTGAATTTGTCAGTAGATATATTTCCTAACTTCTTCAATTATTGTAATGATATTCACTAATATTTCCATGTAGATTTTTAAATTGAATTGCTGCTGCATACAATTTATTTTAATTTGAATTTACTCTCAATTCAGTAATACTCTGTATCAAAATTGATATAAAAATATTGACAGATATGTAAATAAGAGAGAAAATTTCAATCAGTGAAAATCAATTTAATTAGGGTTAAAAATTGTATCTAATAAAAAATATTTAAATATATTTATCTAATTAATTTAAAAATGTAATTAATGATTCTTTATTTTCTAAAAACTACCAAGATCTGGTCAAATAACGTCTTTTCCATCATTTTTAATCCTAAAAAGCATACAAAATTAATATTAAATGTAATATAAACGATTATAAAATAAATTATGAAAAAATGTGAATAATGTATATGACTTTTGAAATATTTTATTGAATAATATAAATATTATACCTTCTTTTAAATAATCTGTATTGGTGGTGCAGAATTTATTTTACTTTCCCAGAATTTCTTATTTTTTCTATATATTTGTATATAAAAAAAAGAATGTATAATTAAAATATTATTTATGAAAAATAATTACCATTAATATATACTATGGTTTGTATACTTTAGAAATTACCTTTATATCGGTGGCATATTGTCAAAAAAAAGGCCTTTGATTTACACAACTACTCTTATCTCAACTTTAAGGTAAAAATAAACTTTTATATTTTTAAATTTTTTGTTCCTTACTCTTTAAATAATTTTTTAATCTCATTATTAATACTTAATTGGTATTTTTGGGTAGTTAAAAAAAATAAAAGCATCATATACTACAAGTTCATGCAATAAAAAACAATGCGTACTTTTACCCCAAGACACTATAATATAGTAAAACNAAGCATCATATACTACAAGTTCATGCAATAAAAAACAATGCGTACTTTTACCCCAAGACACTATAATATAGTAAAACATATAATGTTATTAAATAAATAGCTTTTATTTAAATTCCGACTAAAATTTATTTATTTTTAAATATCTTATATTTTTGGTTAATGTAATAAAAAAATTGCAAGTAACAACCTTGACAACTTATAATTCTTAAAAAAGTAATTGAGAAGTTAAATTGTTAATTACTTTATTTTTTGTCGATTAGAAATTCAATTTTTATTTTATTTTAAATTACAAAATTATAGATTTTTAACACTTTTGATGTGAAATCAACAACAGATTTTTAACATACTGTCAAAGTATAATGTTCATAATTAATTAGTAACAATAATCTTGACTTATATTTAACGTATTTTTCTCTTTATAACTTTTCCAGACAATAAAAATTAAAAATTTTTTTTTATGAGATTTAAGTTAGTACTGATAACGTTGGATAAAATACAATTAATTCTAATAAAACTATCAATTTTTTTATGTTGATTAAGGTTACTAACAGTTGAAAATATTTTACCACAAGTATTGCATTGATTCATTATATTAAGTATGTTATTTTGCAAAGGTATAAAATAGAACACATAGTATCATTAATTGAAGTATATAAAATAATATTCTTACACTGTAAAATTTATTCATAGTTACATTTTAAACAAGAGATTTTATAAATTTCTAAAACAAACATAATTTTTTCATATAACATAATAATGATCACCTTATGATAAAAAAGGTTTTTATCCCATCCCTTCTGTGAAGTGGTAAACCACTGATCTACAGTTTTAATACATACGCTAGTCAAGGAAGTCAGAGTCGGAAACAGAGTACCCCTCTCTATGGTCAAAAACATACACATCACATAGCTATAGTTGGGTTTCCTTGGGTTAATATGGCGCCGCTTGATTACACCTTTCACTTTTCACATTGCACATTGTGTTAAAACATATATACTATACTTACTTTTGTCCTTTTTAAAAAATTCAATGACATTACATTACATTTGATAAAACAATTATTTATTGGCATTGATGTCTGAACTGTTAAAGAATTTTTTTCAGCTTTTAAATAACATGAAATATTTACAAACAATGAAAACTGCAATTTTACTATGATATTAATAAAAAAATTTTGTAGTTCAAAGAATTTTATGATTTTAGTTGGTTAAGTTAATATACAAAAATAATATATATTCGGTATCTAATACCAGATAAAGAATATTATTTTTGTGATGTTGATAAATTAATATTAAATTTAACAGTAAATTAAACAGGTATAAAGCTAACAGGGACGCCCGCAGAAAAATATCCTAGTGAGTAAAAAATGATTGACAACAATGTATGCCACTTATTCTCTTCCTTGCAATCTAAGGGTGACACGAAAAATCTCGGTGGGTTCTGTGGGACTTTCTAGACTTTCTAACATCCCTATAAGCTTATATGTAACATTTGTATGAATGTATTACTCTTATTTGTTATTAAAACGATCAAAGTTAAGGTGTGTTTTTTAGCTTCGATGCGAAGCTGAGAAGGTATTAATTTTACTATGATGTGTTTTTTTTTTTTATGTCTGTTGCCACTTTTTCTCAGCTCTCACTGGTCCGATTTCTTTCAATAGTACGTCAAAAGATCACAAATCGTATCTAGTTGGAGACATTACCCTTAAAAATTGAAAAAAATTCCCTCGTTCCCCGCAAATGGGGGAAATATCCAAAAAAATTACAAATTTAAAAATCGATAAAATTTGTCATTTTTTTCACTTTTTTCTTAAAACTTCCATAACTTTTTGAAAAATCAACATATTAACATAAATTTTTTTTTTATACTAAAACCTTAGATATTTCCCTTTCATTTGATATCATTTTTTTGAAAATCTAACACTTAATCTGCTCATCGAGGGGGATTTAAAATAGCAACTTTTTTACAAAAACTAACTTTTTCAACTTAATTTTTGAAAATGTTCCGGAAATACTGCGTCCTTTAAACATATATCAAATTAAAGCTTATTTTATGAATTATAAAATGAAAAAAAAAATTTGTCCCGACGGGACATCTTCTATGCGCAAATGGCTAACGTATTCAAAAATATGCTATTTTAACAAATTTTTTTTTTTTTAAATTAAACACTATCTACAGATTTGCATCGAAGCGTTTTTTATGATAGTGATTTTAATCACTGTTAGATATCATCTATACTGGACCCAACTATGCCACGACCTCACTGTGCCGCCACCCCACTGTGCTGGGTTTTTTTTTTTTTAATAAGATTTACACTTTTAGTTTTTATAATACATAATTGTATTAGTATGATATTAAATATCCTATCGAAAATTTTCTATTTTTCTCATTCTTTTTAAACTATTAAAATCAGCAAAGCATAAGTGTAAATGGGAGATTTTTGGTTACTTCGCACCCGCAAAAATAAAATAATTTATATTTATGGTTGTGTAAAAATATTATAATGAAATTACATTTTTTTTTTTTTACACGATCGGCATTATTATGGGTCGCCCTGGAACTGCCATGTGGCATTACTTCAGGTTGCGAATAAGCCCGAAATTAATCAAGAGCTAATTCGCAACTTGTTGTGGTCCCCTCCCGTTAACCGAAACCCACAGTGGAAACCGTTAGGGAGGGTTGGCAAAATAACTTACAAACAAAAACACAAAATCAAGAACAAGAACCTAAGGCACCGGCCTAAACCAGCGCCTCAGGTCTTCCTGTGCCGGGCGGCGTGGATATCTCTGTCTTAGGCGTTCCGCTTCCTCCTTCTTTAATAAGATTCGGCGAACGTTTGGACGAGCTTCCACGCCACCCAACTCCTCAACATTAGGTCCACCATGGCCCGACTCTATTTATAAAACATTTGACTAACTTTTTTTTTGTTAAAAAATATAATATATGTTATGTAATTAAAATAAAATTACCGTTTTTAATATCTTCGCATGATGTCGTTATGTAAACTTCGCCGGTTATTACATTATACTTAAAACCTAGCTCAAAAATCTTTTTTTGAACCGTATCTTCAATAATTTCATTTATTTTTGTAATAAGATGATTAATTAATTTATGTCCACCAGTATCTTCCAATGGATTCTCCTTGTATTCTTTCATTATTCTGTCTATGAATAATTCTCGATTTTCAAATATCAACTTAGCATGCAGGCGTATACTGTGTATTATATCTCTAATTCTCGCAAATAAAAAAATTTGTATTAACTGTAAAATAGTTTTGGCTAATAGCTTCTTTGATTGTAATTTTTGTAATTTATTATCAAAACTTTGCAATTCATTGAACATTTTTTTTAAAATGTAATTTTCTTTATATTTTATTGCAGACTTCAATGAATTAATATGCATTTCATCTATAGCATCTATTGCTCCTTCCATTTTCTTTGCCAATGATAATATATTTTGTATTGTGTTCAATAATTTATTTATACAATTGATTTTATCATGTTCATCAATTTTATTATTTTCTATTAAGCTATCACAATATTCTCGAAATTTATCAATAATATAGAACAGTTTTTTTAAAACAATGCCATGTGAAACCGCAAGGAATATTGTAGCAGCTCGTACTTGACCGTCAGCATTTAAAGAATTAGTGTCTTTTTCAGTTATATCATTTAAACGATAACGAATACCTAAAAATTTTACTTCACTTACGTCATTTAAATTTTTCCATCCATCATTTTTAAAAAGATGTCTGAGGATAGCTGGTTTTGTTGCTTTTTTAGCCTCCGTAAAATACTTGACATAAATTGGCATTAAGTAAATTAAAACATAGATAAATTTTAAACATATCATTTCTATGATATTTAATTTTATAGAATAGCGTTTTTTAGATATTTTAATTCTACAGACAACTTTTGTATTTTTAAAATCTGTATGAATGTATTTATTATATCACGTGTGTATGTATGTTCATTTGTACATTTAGTTATGGAATCAAGTCTACAAATATTTAAACAATTATTTTCTGGCGTATTATTAAATTTACCATCAAAATTTTAAATCAAAAATTAAAATGTGTGTTATAAACGTCGTAATCCGAACAACTGTAACTTATTTTAAAAACAAATGCTTAACACTTTTAAATCAAAAAACACGATGATTAATTAAAGATCGAAAACTTATTTTCTGGGAAACTATTGAAAATTTTGAAAAAATTAACTTTTGTAAAGATGTGTACTACAAAAAAAAAAAACATTCTCTACGATTGTTATACTATAAGAAATCGGCTGTCAAAATAAAAAAAAAATACTTTCTTATTAAATTAAGTAAATAGTTTTAAAAGTATTTAATATTTTGTAAGTGACTGAACTGTTTTCGCTTCGAACTCGACTAGACTACTATTATCGTCATTAAACTTATCATGATTTAATGACCATTCGCTTTGTTTGCTGATTAATCACTCAAGACCGTACAATTGTTTTTTAGTTTTAGCGCTCCACTGCCACGGGAAATTATATATCAGTAGGGCTGTGCTCTGTTCTAACGTGAGACCATTCGTTTACAATACTTAAATCATGTATTTCACCTTTTCTATTCGCTACAAACGTCTTTACTAGAAGATGACCAAACCCAAGCTAAAACAACATTGGAGTCGTACCACAAAGATGTTTGTTTGATATCTAAACATAATTTAGGTATAATACGTTTTGCTAATCTGGTAAGTAGTAACACAACGCATAATTCCACTCGAGGTAATGAAATTATTTTTAGAGACGCGACCTTCGATTTAGCGCAAATGAGATGTGAACTGATTTTACCTGTATTATCTGTACAACGTAAATATAAACACGCGCCGTATGCTTTCTCCGATGCATCAGCAAAACCGTGTACATTTAACTCATTACTTAGGTCAGTACACCGCCGTTGTATTACTATTTGGATTATCGACAATAAATCGCTAACGATATCCTTCCAACGATCAATAAAATCGTCTGATAAAATTTCGCCCCATCCTAATCTTAATTGCCATAATTTTTGTATTTTACATCTCAATGTGACCGGTCCGATAAACCCCATTGGGTCGTAAATTGCAGCGATATACGACAAAATTGTTCGTTTGGTAATTTCTACATCCGACAGTTGTCTCAAAATATTATAAGTAAATGTATCGCCTGTTGGATCCCACAGTAAACCGAGTATTCTAGATAAGTTGGGTTTTAAAAAATTTGAATAATTTACAACTGAATTCTCATTATTGTTATCCGTTGTAGTATTTGTTAATAACTCGGGCTCATTTGACGACTACTTCGCCAATTTAATTCCTGGGCTACCTAACATGCCGATTATCTTATCTCGCAGGCTCACAAGTTTTTCTTTTGTATTCGCTCCCGTTAATAGATCATCCATGTAAAAGTTTCTGGCTTACGCCTGTTGCTAAAAATGAAGTCGGTCCAGTCCCGTAAGTTACCGTTGCTAATTCATTTATTTTTAGTGGTTGATAAGGTTCCCTTCGCCACAAAATCTGTTGATATTTCCTGTCATTTTTAGTAAACATTATTTGTCTGTTTATTTTAACTATATCGGCAGTAATGACGTACTGGTGTGTACGAAATCTAGTCAGTATATCTATCAATTCTTCTTGCAGGAGGGGACCTTTTAATAAGGCGTCATTTAAATTCAAGTCCGATGAGGCATCAAAAACTACATGAACGAAATGTAACAAAGAATTGTGCGGTTTTGAGCATCGCAAACAATATTTCGATAAACATTTTTGCTGCCTTAAGCAAATTCGACAAAGTTTTAAATCATTCGATTTATTATACGCTCTTGAACCGATAACGCTAAAAGGGTTGGACAATGATAAATTGTATTAGGGCTTTTACATACAAAACATCCCAATGTTTTATCAGCTACTGCAAATGATTTAGTATGTGATTTTATTCTTTATATTTCGATTCTTACTGCTTAGATCATTTACTCTTAGAACACGCGTAGTGATCGTTTTTAATGTTTCTATCGATTCTAATATTTTAAAACGGCTTTCTAAAAATTCTAATAATTCATTTGGCTCCACTACTTTTGTTTGACATGCAGACGTTTCCCAAGCGCGTAAAGTCATTTTATCTAACTTTATCATAACAATATGAAACATTAACCGACCCAAATAATTGGGTTCATACCATGCATTCTCAAAGATTAAATATTATTACTTAATTTATCTATACATTGCCTTAGTTTTATAGAAGATTCACTACTCAAGGTCTCCATGTTGCAAATCGCTTTTACATGACTTTGTACGATAACAATTGTATTATTATACCGCTCTTTTAAAGTTTTCCAAGCCGCAGTGTAATTTTCATCTGACATACTTAAATATTTAATCGAATTTAAAGTATCTCCGCTTAACGAACTGCGTAAATAAAAAAACTTTTGTATCAGCATCAAACTAGTATTTGTATGAATTAAATTATTAAACAAATCATAAAATGTTGACAATCCATAATAATCACCCGAAAAATTTGGTAACGTTAATGATGACAAATTTATGGGAATCTAAGTGACGATATGTTATATTCAGCTTCTATAACTTTGAGTAACTATTATTTACACTAGGCGTTTCATTAATTTAAATAAAATTATCATCTGCAGATCAATTCTATAAAATGCGTCCTCAAAATCTTTTCGATTAGTCGCTGACTTTCTTCTTCCGATTTTATTTCAATAGCACTTTGAACATGATCAAACTCGCTCCATTTTTCTTCTATCTTTCGTTTCCTTAATTGTAGTTCATTTATATCGTCACTATATAATTAATCACTAATGTTTTCCAGAAGTACGATCATATTAAAAATAGTCTCTATTTTACCACAAAAAATATAAATTATAAAAATCGCTTTTAAAACGTGATATTTATTTTATATAAATAACTATTACATTGAACTCTGGTTTAATCCGTAAATTTAATCAAAACTAAATATATAACACGAACAGTAGTTCAGTAAAAAATATATATTTAACTTGACAGTATGGTAATGAGTATCAAAATGAATACATTAAGACTTTTCATAGTTTTTTTAAAGTATACTAATTTTATAGTAGCAATAGATTTAATAGGTTTGCATTGTAACTTTTCGAAATATATGTTTAATTATTTCAAGTACGGTGAGCACTATTTGTTCAACTTCCAAAATACAATTTCTGAATTTGAAATAAAAAATTATGGATTAGCAATCAAATCTCACGATGAAATTATAATGATCATGTTAGATGCGTTACGAGATATGGACGAGAAGCATATAGCAGAAGATTTAATGACCATAAATTTATACTTAAATAATGTTTCGGGGTCATTAAACATGATCGCTAAAAATGAAAACGGCGTATTCAGTAGAACTGAAAGCTCTCAGAATTTACTTGAAGGCTATAAAATAATTCATCGATCAATTGTTGAACGATTGGAATACTTTATCAATAGCCAATGTTCACTTGTATCGTTTGAAAATGATTTCATATCATACACCTATTTTAAGGTACCGGATAGTTACAATCCAAATAACTTACTTAAAGAATTGGAACACCTAAAAAATTACATATTTATTGTTATTAGAGAATATTTAATGTGGTATGATATGAAATATGATGAAATATTAAGTAGTTACACTGACATTGTAAAACATTTAGCATTGTCTTTTCGTAGGCAATCGTATAGTGTTTTTAATCCTAAAAATGTCTTCTTTTATGATTTAATGGAAACTCGATCTAATTTATGTGAGCTAAAATTATCGTCAGGTTCTCAAGCAAAACAATATGCTATATATAATAGTGAGCAACAACTAGATGATATTTTAGATATGATTCGATATGCCCCGTTGACAATAAAAAGTACAAACAATTATCAAATAAAGTTATTGGATATGTTTCGTTTCATAAAGTTTGATTTTGACTGGCAAAATATACAAGCATTTATAAAATTAGTAAATACAGCAACAGTTCAACCAATAATATTCATCGTCAGATTTTATTTTTCATTAGTTAGAAAATTCCTTTTGTATCATGAATTTAAAAATGAGGAATTAAAAAATGATATGAAATACAAAATCATTACTATGGGTCAACATATTGTTAAAAACATGAAATCGTTTATGGATTTGAATTTATTTGGAGAAGAATTTACAATTTTCATTGAGGATAATTTTAATAAGATGTACAAACTTATTTCATCTTTCTCAGATCACAATGATTTGTTTAAAAGTAAAGAAATGAATTCGATTTCAAAATGTTACTATAATTATGTGAGAAGAACTATTTTAGTTCCGAGTAACATTCAATTAATGAAAGAAATTGAAACAGAAGACAATATTAATAACTTTTTTCATTTAGCTACTGGAGAAGTAAAAAAAATTGCTTCATTCGTTTCAGAATTGAAAAAATATAAGTATTGTTTTGAGATTGCGAATAAATATATTCCTACAAAATTCATGAATAACCGTACATGTAATTTTATTTTCAAGCGTAATATGCCATTCGGTTAGTTCACAAATACATAATCAATATTTTTTTTCTTGCTAATAAACGAATGTTTTGAAAATTAAATGGGAAACTATTAAATGGTTAAATGGAAACCTATTATTGTTATTTTTTTACGGTTATATTGGACATAGAATAAATAAAATTCTTAATGGTCGACTTTCAGTTTTGTATCGTACATTACTAGATTAATATAAATATAAGTAACAGGTGAGAGAGGTGCTCAACGTAAGAATTTGGCTATGAGTTAGGGTAAAAATTAAGCATCGCTGACACTATTCGCTACTCACATTTTCTAAATCTTTAAATTAACTTTTAAAAGTCATCCCTAAAATCTAACGTTAGAAATAAGTTTTTTTTACAATATAATTAACATTTACTATGGTTCAAAAAATAAATAAAATTTCTATCTGTAC